ATTCTGCAGTCCTGAGGAAAGTGGTTTGGAGTTGTCATACTAAAGGTGGAACTTTCATTCCCTAACCTGCTCTTCTTCCAGCAAGGTATCTCTCCTGAAAAAAGGATCTGGGAAAGGCCTTTTGGCGTCGCTGCTTTGCTCATCTCTGCAGCCTTCTCCCTGCTCTCACGGGGACCAGTGGTTCCCGAGGGCTGGGCTTACCAGTAAGACCGGGAAGAGGGTGGCACGGAGTACCTTGGCCTTTTTGTGTTCCTCTGCCTCAGATCCCCTGTCCCGTTCAGCAGTGGGCCCACCAAAGGGCCACAGTGTATTCCATGGAGTGCAACCCTGGGAAGCTGCAGTGCAGTTCCCCCCACCAAGCCCTCCTCACCAGAGGAAAACCAGTGTATTTTGCAGCACAACCAACGTGTCACAGCTGAGCTGGTCAATTATTTGATTACATCTTTTTGCCATATTTATGATTTTTTTTAAAGGAAAAGAGCTCAAGGCCGGCTGATAACAGCTGTGTTTCTGCTGCCTTTTCGAGGAAGAAAGGGCTCCCGGGAGCTTTTGCTCACTCTTAGTGGGAAAAGATGCTGAGAGATGTAAATATTGCTAGGAAAGGCACCTCCTCGACCTTCAGCTAATCAAATAAAGGAAAAAAAAAAAAAAAAAGGAGGGAGGAGGAGGTGGAGAAAGAACAGGAATCAGGCAAGGCAAATGAAATAATCCTACATCTTGTCCTGTGGAATAAAATTCATGTATTTAGTCATGAAGAGGAAACAGCTGTCCCTAGGTAGACACTTCAGTGTCAGAATAATGTTGGCTGAGGCCAAAGGTTATAGGATTATTATTTAAAAAAAAAAAATATGCAGTCCAGTTTCCCTGAGGGAGTTCCCTTTGCTTTTGCTGCATGAAACCAGAATCCAGCAGCACTCTGAAATGCTGTTAGCCTGCCAAGCGTTTGGGGATTGCTCCCTCCCCACTATTTTCTTTTTTTTAACGCACTTAACCCTAAAAAGTATGCTGAGCTGGTTTAGAAGAAATCTCATGGAAAAACCCAAAAGCATAATTTTATTTACCTCACGGGAAACGGGGAATGACTTTTAGGCATGGTGGTAGATGTTAGGGCATGTGGGTACTGTAGTTCAAGAGACTGTTGTGTTGCTTCATTTTTCCTGCACAGCTGTGTCACCCTGCTTCGTGCCTCTCGCCCTCACCCCCCACCCCCGTGGAACCTTCCCTGCAGGTGGGAGTTAGAAGTAAACACTGCATTTGGGGTGCTGCACAGCTGCTGAGGGGCACCCAGCCCAGGTGCCCGAATCACGCCTGCACCGGGCAAGCAGCCGGCGGTCCCTGCCTGCGGGGCTGGTGGCCAGCCTCCTGCGGGCCTCAGCCTGTGGTGGCAAAGGGGAAACGGACCTTTTCCTGGGAAATAGCAAAGGTCACGCAGCTTTTGGGTGCTTCCTTTGGATGTTTGCCTTCTCTAATACAGGAAAACTACTGATGTTTTTCCTCCTTTCTACTCTATGTTATCCCCCTGCCAAATCTGTCAGCTTGGTGTTCACACCAAATCACAGCGAAGGACTGACACCCCGAGGAAGCGACAGCCTAGGTGTAACACTCACCTGCCTCTCGGAGTGTGGCTGTTGCTTGGAGCCGCTGTAAATGGAACGGGTGGGAGGGCCAGGTGACCAGCTTCACTCCTGAGGGTCTCCCCTTCGTTGCTCTCTGCAGGTTACTGTGTAAAGGGATAGTGTGCATCCATAGTGTAGTAGGTGGTCTTTAAAGAAAAAAACAGGAATTGTGAACATTTGGATCTTAAAAGCATGCCTCTGCCCCCCCACCCCGCCCCCGGCAATCTGCATACTGGAGTTTTGGATGAGTTACTGTCTGAATCAGATTTCCATAAGGCTCATCTCCGCGCTGAGCCAGAGGCTTTCCATCACTGCAATCACGTGCTGTGCGCGCCCTTTGATCCAAGCCGTGCCAAATTTCATGGGAGACATGTCAGAGGCAGAAAACCCTATGGCAACAAACTCTGCCCGACGAAGAAGCAAATCCATTTGTCTCGTCTTCCAGATACCTAGAATTATAATTAAAGCTGCAGAGATACTTTCTAGATAAAATCCATGCCTCATTACAGCTTATCATGGGGTCACAGAATGGTTGGGGTTGGAAGGGACCTTAAAGACCATCCAGTTCCAACCCCCCTGCCATGGGCAGGGACACCTTCCACTAGACCAGGTTGCTCCAAGCCTCATCCAGCCTGGCCTTGAACATTTCCAGGGATGGGGCATCCACAGCTTCTCTGGGCAACCTGTTCCAGTGCCTCACCACCCTCCCCGTGAAGAATTTCTTCCTGATAGCTAATCTAAACCTCCCCGCTTTCAATTTAAACCCATTACCCCTTGTCCTGTCCCTACAGGCCCTTGTAAAAAGTCCCCCCCCCAGCTTCCTTGTCGGCCCAAGGGAGATGGATACTAGAAACAGCAGAAATATAAAATTGAACAAAGGTATTTTTGAGTTCCTAAAAGTTCCCCATAATTCAAGGGAAGGATCTGATTCTTCTATTAGTTCAGCACTGTTCTTTATCATATTATTACAGGTCCTCAGCCCGCCCCGATCATAACTCACATCATCTCTTCTGGCGGAAGGCCACACGAGTACCTTCGTTGCTGACGAACGTGGATGCTCGTATCTGAGTAGCTGCACAGGGATCTGCAAACACATCTATGTCCTGGGGCTGTTAATCACAGCACTTTGTTCTTTTGCAGTGTAGGGAGGGTACGTACAAATGAACTCCGAAAGGTTTCTGAGGTGGCTGGGAGTCAGTGACACAAATCAGGGCAGGACAGCAAGAGCTGACTAGGCCGGACCCTTCTGATCTGCAAAAAATTCTGACAGTGCCCTTGTGAGGCAAACAAATGAGTATAATTAGCCCTGGTTTTACAGCTAGAGATCACAGGAGCACCTGCTGCAGAGGTGTTCTCTGTGGCTGTTCCAGCCATTCCAGATCCAAAGCTCAGAACACAAACATCAGCCCATTTCATGCTTCTACATGCTGCCCACCAGCAATCCGGTACCTCTCATCCTAGGCCACATCCCACAGTAAATGTAAGGCACACTAATTTCAGCATGACAGTGATTTGTTTTTCAGGAATAATGGCCAGAGATGACAAACCTGTACGGAAATTCCCTACAGTGACACACACACCCCTCCCCCCCGCCCCCCAGTTTTGACACGGGGCGCTCTGATCTCGGCGCCCTCCCTCAGGTCTCCCCCTTACAGCTGCGTTCTCCCGTCACGGGGCTGTCTTTTCAACGCGCCGCACAGCAGCCGTGGCTTTAGTGCAGCACCCTTGCTCCCCTGGACAAAAGACTTTCTCCGGCCAGACTACCGTGGTGTTGGTCACCCATCTGTGACCAAGAGGGCACAAAACGTAATGCATCTCCCACTGTTAAGAAACACTTTCCTTTTATACCAACTCCAACAATGGGAGTTTCAGCTTTGACTGCCCGTTTCCTCACTGATAACAAACTTACCTGCTAGGGATGACGGTCCCTCAAGCTGCTCAGCATTTTTAGAACAGCAGAGTTGACCTGGCAAAGTGGCATTTTTCATCCACCGCATTGGGTTTATGCTTCCTTAACTGGGGAAGGAGTTGGGAGAAAGAAAATCCTTGGGGCATCCATAAGGATGCACCTTCAGTTCTTCACAGACAGGACTGCTCGCTCCCACTTCCAGATCAAATTCTTGATCTGAAAGCTGGCCTCATGCATTAGCGGACGTGTCTGTGGGATGCTGCCACCCACAGTGGCTGAGTTAGTTCTAAATGCTCCATCTGCACCTCTCCCAGCACAAGGGTAAGATCTCCTGGGGTGAGCACCGCTGACGAAACGCCAACCTCGCTATTCACTAACACTGCTTTTACTGAGCAGCATCTGGTCTCAAGCAGAAGTTTGTAATGCTGATGTTTTTACAGGGAAAAGTACCTGCTTTTTCATACTTGAAAAGTACCAGCAACGCAATAAAAACTCAGCGAGAAATATGTAAGAGCATGAATGCAATCCTAGAATCACAGAATGGTTTGGGTTGGAAGGGACCTTAAAGACCATCTAGTTCCAACCCCCCAGCCATGGGCAGGGACACCTTCCACTAGACCAGGTTGCTCAAAGCCACATCCAGCCTGGCCTTGGACCCTTCCAGGGATGGGGCATCCACAGCTTCTCTGGGCAACCTGTTCCAGTGCCTCACCACCCTCTCCGTGAAGAACTTCTTCCTGATATCTAATCTAAACCTCCCCACTTTCAATTTAAACCCGTTACCCCTTGTCCTGTCACTACAGGCCCTTGTACAAAGTCCTCCCCAGCTTCCTTGTAGCCCCTTCAGGTACTGGAAGGCTGCAATAAGGTCTCCCCGGAGCCTTCTCTTCTCCAGGCTGAACAAGCCCAACTCTCTCAGCCTGTCCCCATAGCAGAGATGCTCCAGCCCTCTGAGCATCTTCGTGGACTCCTCTGGACTCGCTCCAACCGGTCTTCATCCTTCTGATGTTGAGGGCTCCACAATGATCACTCCCTGCAGGTAAACTCGTCTTCGGCTCTCTGCTACATTCTGCAGACAGAGAACAAAGCACGGGGCTTCTGGAGGTACCTGAAATAACAGCAGCGTGAAGAAAATCTGTAACACTCGTGGACTTCCTGAAAATTCAGCTGAGGCTGAAACTAGCCTCCGGGCAGGATGCGCCATTCAAAGTGCCTGGAGAGCCTAAAGTTGCTTTAAGCAAGAGCTTTAACCATCGAGGAGCCTCATCTAGACTGTCTCCAGCAGCAAGGGCTTCACCCCCACTGAACTCTGTAGGAAAAGGCAGTGGTATCATTGCTGAATGGTAAAGCTATTGGTGTTCTTCGTTAGCTGAACGGAAAGCCAAGCCCCAGCTGCGGCGAAGCAGATATACCACACGCGTGCAAGAACAGGACAACGTGAGCTTTGAAGAAGCAGCCAAAAGACAGCAATGCTGCAATACACAAAAGTTTATTTTTAAGTTTTTCTTTTCTGAAGGCAAAATATAATAGAACCTAACATCAATGTATTTTGTACAACAAAACGGGTTTTATATGAGAACAGACAATCCATGAAGAGGGTTTTTTTTTAAGTCTTAGAACTGCTTCCCTTTTTTATCATGCTTTCTTGTGGTCAACAAAAAGTTGGCACAGAAGGTGTCACGGCAGTCAGTCAGCGGGCGTGCTCCCTCAGATCCTCGTCAGCTGGTGCCACAGGCTGGAGGGCAGGATGCTCTCTACTTTTTCCATCACAAAGTTTAAAGGGGCAAAGAGGGTGCTGAGAAACTGCAAAGAAATCAGAGAACACATTCAGATCAAGACCCAGGAGACAATGCCCCTCAAGATAGCTGTCCACTAAGAAACTTCTGCTATGTCCCTCTGTAAAATCCTCCAGCGTGGTAAAAACTGTGTAATCCAACTTTCTGCCAAAATCTGAGCCTCACATATATACAGACTTCTGGATTTTGCAGTGAAGAGAGAGCGAGCCCCATGTTTATGAAGATCAAAGTGATGAACAAGGAGAGTTCTCACACATCCCACATCCAGGTTCATGCTGAAGCCACTCAAAGCTCAAAGCAAAGCCCACTGAGGCTTTTTCGTAATGGCAGAATCCGTCAGAGCACCTCAGAGACAAAGAGCAGGTCTCTAGATTCAGGTGTAAAATGGTTCTGAGTTACCAACAGATCTGCCACATACACTGCGACATCAGCAGCTGGGATTTATCTTAACCCCCTCCCTCTATTACAGAACAGTCGTGTGGAATGAGGTTTCAACATGTTCATGTTAGGACAGGCACACGTGGCACAAGTCAGGTGGACAGAGGCTGTTTTGTCACTTGAAAAAACCACTGCCAGCTACACATCCCGTAACTCCAGCACTCAAGGCACTCCCAGAATTTTGGGGAATGCGTATTAAGTGTGCTTTCACTGCAGTTCAACCGTGCACATCACATACAGTTACGTTGGGGCCCTACAGGTGTGCGAGAGAGTAATGTGCAAGGTCAGCCACCTCGAGACCGGGAACCCTGTGGCTTCCAACCATTCAGGCTGATGTGACTTTGCCAGAAATAAACAGTTCTGCTGAAACACAGCCGGGCACAGCAGATGTATGTAAAACCCATCACAACTTCAGTACCCAACAGCCACAGATTCTAACTGTTTCATGGTATCAAGCAAGAAAATTTCTGCCAACGATCTTGCTGTTCACGGAAGTGGGCTCTGGGCAGAGTTTAACCGGAAGGATGCACGATGCTCACGATGCTCACGCATCTTAAAGGCAACAGTAAGCATACAGATTCATTTTTTTCCTCTTGGACACGTCTGCGTGCAATACAGACACCGCACCACGGGCGACTTGCGCATGGTGGGAAAGCCAGGCAACACCATCACCGGCAGAGATTTTGTCGTAAGAACAAGCTGAAGCTGTTAGTTTCAAGGGCCTTGGCCCAGGCAGAAGCATTCCCTCTGGTTAAGCTGTGGACTGTTCACATAAATATTTCAATTTAATTCTGTCAAATGCAAAAGGCTCACTACAGGGTATTTTCTGCTCTTCTGAGTCACACTTGAACGATGTGGTAAGCTTGCAGCATCACATCTACTTGGGTAACACTCAGCTTTGTAACCAGTGCACATTACATATTTGTTAAAACAATGAAAGAAGAATCATTTGCCTGACAGTACGTTTTATCACAATTCATGGGAATTTTGTTGCGGAAGCAGTTGACTGTACCCTATAACAAACTCAGCAAAGTATCTGTAGCTTAAAAAGAGCCAATTTTTCTTCCACCTAGAAAATCGGTTGGTGTCATGGCTTAACTCTGGCTAGCAAAATACCACGAAGCTGCTCTCACAGCTCCCCCTGACCCTTCCTCCAGCAGAGAGGGAGAATCGGAGGGAAAAGACAAGGAAGCTCGTAAAATTGAGATAAGAACTATTTACT